CCCTTTCCGGGGCGCCCGGTGCCGACGCGCGCGCGCGCGCGCGGCGCGGCGCTTTCACCGGGAAATGGCGGCCCCTCCGCGCTTCCCTCTCGGGGAAGTCTCGGAAGCCTGCTTTGCGCGGGAAAAATAATCCTCTAAAGAAAAAGGACATCGAAGCAAAGTGGCTGCGACGCCGTGAAGACCCGTGCCAGGCGCACGCCACCAGGGGACTCGCGCGTGGGGCGCCCTGGGGTGGACCAGTCCTGCCATCTCCGGGCTCGCAGCCAGCCATCCAGGTGTGCCCCAGCGCCAGCCCGACCAGCCTCCTGGACGCTCCGAGGCTGCCTTTCCACGCCTTGCCTCGTGGGGGCGCCCTCCGCTCCTGCCCTCTTTGTTTCTCCCAACAATAGCCTTAGGGGCATTGGTCCCGCAAGGATCCAATGTGCTGGCTTCTCCAAGGGTTTCACACAGATCATTGTCCCTGGGGTGAAATGGGTCTCCGTGGGTCTGATTGCTGGGGCACCTGAGTGGGGGAAAGGACCTGAGAAACCCAATGGGTCCTTGTGATGGCAGGGCAATCCTGGGTACAGCAGTCCCAGAGAACACAGGCCAGCCCTGTCCAGCTCAGTGAATTTCAAACACAAGAGCCCACAGACCCAAGGACCACCCCACCCCATTGAGGACCGTCGAGTAGCCGAGTAGCCGGATGGCAATACACTGTTGCAAGTGGTGGCCTGGCTTTTCTCACTTGTGTTTGCATCAGAATACAATTGTACCCTCTCTGTGCAGTTGCTATTGAAGTGGTTCAGGAGAGGAGAGAAAAATGAAACATTAAGAGTGTCTTTATTTTTGTGGTTTCCAAACAAAGCTACCCATAATTCTCAATCCGTTTGTGCTCAATTGCAAGTTCTCTCTTACTTCTTTGGAACAGTGTTCTTAGGTTCAAATTCAGTGTCCAGGGCGCCAAGATTTGTTACTGTGCTTTTAGATTTTTTTTTAATAGCACTGCTTTAGGCCAAGATGATCATATAATAAATATAGGCATTGTCCAGTGGGAAGATATCTCTTGAACCACATAATGTACATCTTTAACACTTTTCTTTCTAGCATGCAGAATCCTTCTTAAAAGATGCTCAGTTTTCTTCTGTTTTTGTTTTTTTTTGTTGTTGTTCTTTTGTTTGTTTCTATCCTAATTGTTCTGTCTCACTTGAACCCATTTACTCTCAGGCTCTCGACATTGTTCCTGGCTTGTGCTATTTCAAAACTCCATGAAAGAACTTACCTCCGTGGATCCAAAATGTGCCAAAGAGGCTGACTATTTTCTCACTGTTCTATCTTCTGTCTAGTTCCTAGGGTTTGTGAGGCGCCTTTGGTTGGCTCTGTCCCAGCAGGTGGGACACCCTGCTAGGTATTGTCTGAGTCAACCAGTCTGTTTTCTCTGCCTCCTGCCAGCAAAGCAGGAGGGGATTTACGTCCCAGGCAACTTTAAATGAAAGCTATCTGTAAATTGCTTAGGGCAAGTGGTGTGCAAAAACTCAACCAATTTCCTTAAGAATGCTTTTCAGTCTTAAGAAATAACCTAAGCTGGGCACCAGTGGTTCACACCTGTAATCCTAAATATTGAGGAGGCTGGGATCTGAGGATCATGGTTCGAAGCCAGCCTCGGCCAGAAAGTCTGTGCGATTCTTATCTCTGCCAAACTACAAAATAAGCTGGAAGTAGAGCTGTGACTGAAGTGGTAGAGTGCTGATAGCTCAGGGATAGTGCCCAAGCAGAGTTCAAGCCACAGGACAGGGAAGGGAGGAAGGAAGGAAGGAAGGAAGGAAGGTACCCTTAAGACTCATGCCCATAATCTTAGCTATTCAAGAGGATGAGATCTGAGGATCCCAGTTAGAAGCCAACCTAAGCAGAAACATCTGTGAGACTCATCTCCAATTAACCATCAAAAAACTAGTGGTGGATCTGTGGCTCAAGTAGTAGAGTTTCAGCCTTAAGCAAAAAAGCCAAGAATAGTGTGAGGCCCTGAGTTCAAGCCTGGCACACACACAAAAATAATAACAATAATAACCTCAAGGTATCGGACACAATCTTGCAGTCTCTAGAAATGCTTTTGCAGAGTGTATATTCCAGAGTTGAACAGAGTGTATGGTTAACAATCATCAACATCAACTGGGGTAGGAGAGAAGATGGAAGTTATACCCTGTTTGCCCCTTAGGCTCCTGACTCAAGCCTAGAAAACAAAATGCAAATTCAAGCAAAATAAGGTAAAAAGTGGTAGTGGAAAGCTAAGGTGAAGACAGGTATGTTCATTTACCAACAGGAGTGTATATTGATAGAGCCAGTTTGATAAGTAGTTTGGCACTCTTAAATGAATGATGTCCACATTGTATGACCTAACCTTTCATTTCTTGTTATCTTAATGAATTAGGCACCCAGTTGGGCACTGTGATTCCCAGAGGTAACCCTCTGCCCCTTTGCAACCACACCTCACATTTCAGCTGACTTTAGGAAAGTGGAAAGCCAAGTCCCTTCCAGACTTAACCCATGCTTTTTTGAAATCCTGTGGCCTCCACATTGCAATGCATGTAAATCTCAAGCAGGTGGAATTTTGGTGAACATGGGATTAGATGAGGAGGGATCCAGAAGTGCTCAACCAGCCTTAGGAAAAGACTGTCCAAGTTTCCCTAGTACCAGATTGGGGACATAGCTCAGGGATAGAGTGATTGTCTAGGGCTAGGCAAGCTCTGGACTCCAACGTCAGCATCACAAGTAAGTAAATAAATGAAAACTTCATTATCACTGCCAGGCTCTGGTAGCTTCCATGAAGGAGAGATATGAAAGATTTTACTCAGTATCTCCTGTTGTGACACACAGCCTCAAGCCCAGTAATCTTAGTCTTGACTCTGAAACAGAGGGATGAATAGAGAGAAACATGATGAAGAAAATACAAGAAGACTGCCTCCTACAAAGTAGTTCTGTGTGCCAGTGCTGGGTCTTGAACTCAGAGCCTCACAGTGTAACTTGACTTTCCTGCTCAAGGTAGTAGCTCTGCCACCCCCTCTACTTCTGCTTTGGTTGGTTAATTGAAATTAAGAGTCTTCTGGTCTTTTCTACCCAGCCTAGCTTTGTTTTGTTGGGGGGGGGGTTGTTTTTGTTTTTTGTTTTTGTCAGTTGGGAACTTGAACTTAGGGCTTGGATGCTTTCCCTGAGCTTCTTTGTGCTCAAGTGCTCTACCACTTGAGCCACAATGCCTCTCCAGGCTAGCTTTGAATTTAAGATCTTCAGATCTTGGTCTCTTGAGTAGCTAAGGTTACAAGCGTGAGCCACCAGCACCCAGCTTATAATGGTTTCTGTGGAAAGGACACATCATAATAGGTTGTGTTTATTAGGTGTTTACTGCCAGCCAGATGTTGCTTTGAGTACTTTATATGTCTGAATTCTAATTCCAACCACAGTTCACAGGGTGATACTATTATTACACCTATCTTACAGAAAAGAAAAGCTAAGAGCCTGCTGTGAGTCACTAGCTACAGACTACATTCATTGGATTAGTGCTGTATGCAAATTTTTATTTTTAAAAATCCTATTTGCATTGCTGTTTTACCTGACATTTTTATTTTCATGACAAATGAAAGATAAAGAGTATCACATTGAGCCACATGACACAGTACTTTAAACTGTCTTGTCACAAAGTATTAAATAAGATAAATTTGGTTTCTCTGAAGCCCTTACTGTTCATCTAACCACCTCACCATCCATCATACTTTGCCCAATTTATTAGACTGTCATTGCCAATTTGGACCCAGGATGGAGTAAGTCATTCAATTCAAAATTCCCATACTGTGAGGGGAATGTGGGCAGACAAATGCACCGACCCCCAGCTAGATACTTACTTCAGCTCACTGTTGGCTCAAGAGGCTTTCTACACTGGCCATTTTTTGTTTTGTTTTGTATTGCCAGTCCTGGGGCTCAAACTCTAGGCCTGGGAACTGTTGGGCTTCCTTTGCTCAAGGCTAGCACTCTACCACTTGAGCCACAGCACCAGCTCCAGCTTTTTCTCAATAGTTTATTGGAGATAAGAGTCTCACGGGGCTGGGAAGGTGGCTCAGTGGTAGAGTGCTTGCCTTGCATGCATGAGGCCCTGGGTTTGATTCCTCAGCACCACATAAGCAGAAAAAGCCAGAAATGGCGCTATGACTCGAGTGCTAGAGAACTAGCCTTGAGCTGAAGAGCTGAGGGACAGTGCCCAGACCCAGAGTTCAGGCCCCATGACCGGCCAAAACAAACAAAAAAAGAGTCTCACCGACTTTCCT